GCTTGTGGAACCGGGAGCTCTCGTACACCTTGTTTATGGGATGCACGAAGTAGCTTGTCAGCCGCCGGGTGACTTCCGCGTATGATTGGTACACAGTTGGTCTAACGTAAATGAAGAAGTAATTTCGTGCCTTTTCTTTTTTCACTAAAAGTTGGACATTTTTAGTATCAGAATAGATAGTTGGGCGAGTGCGTAACTAAATATTCATATTGAAGCGCTGCGACTGGACACGGACGAGGCGAGAAACTGGGGCCCCTTTTTGGACACTTGGCGAAAACATCGGCGAGAAATCCAGCGCACACTTGACCTTGGCGACGGCCTATCGCACACAGGCGCCGGATTTCTCGCCGGCGTTTTTCGGCAAGCGCAGAGATTAGGGCCCTTTGGACGAAACGAACGGAATTGATTGATACTCCTGCCGCAGCCAACCCTCCGAGGGAGAGAATCAAGCCAAAAGCGCATGCATGTCACGGTGCTCTCGTGCCTTTGCTATCACCGGCTAGACCAGTGACTCAAAGTGAATGCACCGCCATCCTGTGCTTTCGTCTGTGCTTCATTGACTTAGCAGATGGTGGGAAAGGCACAAGAACGACGAGCGCCGCTCCAATGCTCGATTGGCGCCGTCGGACTTGAGGTGAAACGGAGTACGGTACGACCATTATTTCCACCCCTTGGGAACTGCTCGAGACAGGCAGCAATCGTCGCAAACACCCGAGCAGGTAGACCAGTTTTGGTCTTTACCACGGGCTCGATCCTACTACTTGCGATGGAGTGTTTAAAACGTTTACGGGCCTAAAGATAGTAAAATATGTAATAACGATTACCTCCAAATTAAACCCATGAAATATATTCTTGAAATTATTGCGCCATATCTTGTACACACCTTCAATTTGTGCTTGTCGTGCGGAGCTTTCCCTATGAAAATGAAACGTGCAAAATTGTAAGTGCGGTATAAGGGTGGTGAGAAGAATTATTTGTCTAATTACTGGCCTATATCGGTCCTACCTATTTTTTTTTTTAAAGCCCGAAAAGATTATTTTGTGTGGTTTAGATAGCTTTTTTTTTTTTTTTTTGTCAAACATTCAGTACTTTCTGAGTCTCAGTTCGGTTTTAGAAACGGAAAGTCGACGAAATCCGCACTCCTCTTACAAAAGGAAATTATTCTACATAACATCGAAAACAAATTTTGACAATAGGCATATTTATGGATTTAAGCAAAGCCTTTGATTGTATTATTCACAAAATGCGTGTTGACAAATTATACCAGTACAGCATTCGTAGTCCCTCACTTTCACTTTCCTGTTCATCGCTAGAAGCTTTTACGCAGTGTGTGTGCATTGATGGACATTTGTCATCTTTTATGCCGATCAGATATGGTATCCACAAAGTAGCATATCGGGGCCTGTACTCTTTAATATTTATATAAAGGATATTATGAATACTGACAAGGACACTCATTTCATAATTTACGCAGACGACACCAGTCTGTTCCTTTCTGACGTGGATACGGGTAACTTAATAATCGAAGGAAAAGTCATACTTTCCAAATTTGCAATATGCTCAAAGTCAAATGGGCTTAATATTAATGAAACAAAAACTGAAGCAATATTCCCTAGATCAATCAATAAACATGTAGCTCTACACAAAACACTCCCGTTTATTTTAAGCCAGTTGAACTAGTGAAAAATCATAAAACATTGGGTGTTGTATTTTCAGAAAACTTGTCTTAGGCTGAACATATAAATCACATTTCCAGTAAAGTATGCAAAATCGTAGGTATTGTTGCTCGACGTCGTTTTATTCTCCCAGAAATTATAAAACTACAGATACATCATGCACCACTTCAATCCCAAATAACGTATTGTCATCTCATTTTCGGTACGACGACAAAATCAAATCTAAACAAAATATTATTGCTTCAAAAGAGACTGTTACGCATTATTGGAAACGTTCATTATTTATTCCACGCCTAATCATTATTTCAAAAATACAAAATTATCAATATATATCGATTGTATGAATACCTCCTGACTAAATCATTTTGTTTTTCATCACGAGAAGTGATCGGTTTTTTGAGGCATACATCAAGTTTACATAGAAATATAACCACCATCCGCACCCGCTGTTCGGAGGGATGGAGAGTGTCCCGTTATCGTACAAATTACGGCTTAATTGCAGTCCCTACATTATAACCTACCCACATTACTCAATAAATATTCTATAGATATTCTTGGCATTTATAATTTAAATCGTACATCACTGTACCTACTTTTTGTATAATATGTATTAAGTTATGTTAACATTTTAGTTAACGTGTTTTGTGCATATTTATTACCCTGATTGTTTTTCCTGCAGCTCTGTCACCATCTGCCAAGCTCTCGGGGCCCGGACCTCGTCAAGCCAACAAAAATTGGCTTTTTTGTCCGTGGATCCGGCTTCCGTACTTGCATATGCAAATAAATGATTTGATTGAATCCCTCGATGCTCGGGATCATCGGAGATGATAACTGCTGGGTCTTGCGTTCGGTCTAGAGGCTGGTTCACACATTCGCGTTCTCTCGTAACCGCGCACTAGCACACGGACGCCATCTGTCGGGGAGGAATACTTTCGTCTATTGTCGGTAAAGTGGACGCTGCTTCCACCTGTTTCCACTTCAGCAGAGCGAACGCTGGAGAGGGGCGACCTCCTCTCCAGCGTTCGCTCCGTCAAAGTAAAAAAGGGAGAAGGGGAGCTTCCCCCCCTCCCCCCCCTCCTCTTCGAAGTCTTCACCTGCCACCAACTATAGCCTGTAATCAAACTGGAGGGTTTTTCTATGTTTTTGAGATGAAACCTTCGAAGAATCTATGGAAAACAGTCGCTTGCGACCAGGGTTGTAAAGTACCTAGGAACAAGTAACTGGAAATCGGTATCTAGATACTTTTGTTGTACCTGAGGTAAAAACCTAGGTACTTTAATTTCTCGGTATCTGTATTTGTATCTTAGGTACATTTTCCAGTAACTTGTAACTAAGTGAAGCTACTTTTTACAGGTACTTTTCTATTCACTTCGTCAAAATGGTAAAAACAATATATCTTGAAGTATTAACACACCACCATGTGCCGTGATAACGTTGAGTTGCGTACGACATCGGAGGCACTGACTTGATCAAACGACGTTTTAGCGAACGAAGCCCCGCCTATGATGTTTCATCGAACGACACACTTTAGTGAATGTAGGCGTTTATATGAGCGAACGGTGAGTTAGCGATGCCGTTCTAGTGACACCAATTTATTTAATCGCTTCGAAACTCCGTTTAGGGAAAATAGCGACCTGCTTCCTCCATCTCAAACCGAAATCGACTTCATTGCGTGTTTTAAGTTTCTCTGAAAGCTATACAAGGAAGGAGATAACTTGAAACCTTGCCCCTTCGCTCCCTGGAGAGGAAATAAAGTAATATTATTATTATTATTATTATTATTATTATTATTATTATTATTATTATTATTATTATTATTATTATTATTATTATTATTATTATTATTATTATTATTATTATTATTATTATTATTATTATTATTATTATTATAACTATGTGCGCATTTTCTGTTGCCCGTATCTTGTCCTGGTGGTGGCACTGTTCTGTTATAAACACAATATAAAATATAATTAAAAATAAATTATAATTACAATCGTAAAGCAATGTAACATCGCGTATATGATACAGTTTCCACTCCATAAATTGTACTCAAATTTTGCAGGCAGCAAAACTAAAAAGTTCCGAAAAAATAACAAAAAAAAAAAACAACTCATTTTTTTTTCTGACTAACAAAAGAAAAAATAAAACGAGGAAGCTCAAAGCCTTTCTCTCGTCGTCGCGAAGGTTAGGTGCATATGCACTCGAATCATGCATTTCTTCATGCGGCCGACGTCTTCTTGGCCCGTCGGCGTCAGCACCGGCTCTGAGTGCAAGAACTTCAATAAGCGAGTTTCGGCATTTTTTGTGTGATATGGTAAACAGTGGAAGCTGTGGCCTCGGTGAACCGATTGGAGCGTGGGGAAAGGCACGTGAGGACTCAACACCGATGTGGACATCGCAATGACACCAATAAAGCACATTTATCGAACTCGTTTTTGAGTGTATCCTTAAAAGCTTTACTTCTAATATATTTTGACACATTTGGGGAAAATAAAGACAGTATCTTTAAAGTAATTGTACTTGTACCTAGGTACATATTTAAGCAAGTACCTAGGTGCGTGCCCAAGTACCTTTTCGTATGAGCAACTTTAACTGTATCTTAGGTACGTTTTTTGAGTAACTTTCACAACCCTGCTTGCGACATAATTATTCTGAGCCCACGGCGAACTACTGATACGTATAAAATCAAATCTAAGCAGACTGTAATTGTTTTGGGGCTAGCCAGTAGATAGCGCCAGTGTGTCAAGGCTGAATCGCAATTAAGCAATTCAGCGAGCGACGAGACGAGCGACAGCGACGGCGGCGAGAGTCAGCGACGAGCGACGGAGATTTCTCACTATCGCTGGTCGCATTGCTCGGTTTTCGATTCCTAGAAAACGTCGCTCATCGCCTTCGTCGCTTGCTCCCGTCGCTTTGCTGCGGTTTACCTCGTCGCGCGACTGATCGAGCGACAGCGAAGCGGGTCGCCGTCGCTTCTCTCGTCGCTCGCCAAATCGCTTACATGCGGCTTCTACTTTAAGCTGTTAAGCTACTGTGTGAAGCGGCCTGCTTCCGTCACGCTGGGCACGACACGCAAGTTCGCCTACCCTTTTCGCACCTCTGGCGTTTGCTTACCTTCTACATGCGCCAACGTGCTTTTCTTTCCCCCGATGTCGAGCAATAAAAGTGCGCACTCGCCTGCCTCGTCATCGCGCGCGTCGCGCTCTCGATGTCCGTTCGCGTGTCCCTTCTTGCCTTCCGATGTGCCAGGGACGCAGTGTTTTGGGCCACTTGCTCTCCGTATATGGTCTGCTCACCGGCGGGTCTTTCCTTTTTGCAGAACAAAATGGCGGACGAAGACGTGGTGATCACGGGCTTCTCGGCCTACTTTCCCCAGGCCAACCACCTGGCCGAGTTTCGGAAGAAGCTCTACGATGGCGTCGACATGGTCACCGACGACGAGGCACGTTGGCCCAAAGGTACGTCGCGCCGAACAAACCGCCTGTGCTCTGGGCTTACCTCCCAACTGTGTCTTCATGGCCAAACTGCTTGACGGCCCACGGAGCTACTGCGAGGCCGCAACGGCAGGATAGCGCCAATGCATAACTCCGTGAAAGCTCCCCGTACTTTTTGTAAGAAAAACAAAATGCTACACAATATACGAGGGCGATTGACAAATTATCCGCCTCCTGGCTAGAGAATTTATTTGAACACAAGCCTCTCGTGGATTATCGTAGCCTCAGCTGATTTGCAAATGTAACATCCACTGTGACTCGTCTGTCCGACAGAATCATGAACGCTCAACGTAGGCATCAGTCCTGAACGCGAACGGCGTTCATTGTAGCTGACATTGTGCGTCCTTCCTTCCGTATTCATTCAAACATTTCTTTAGCAGCTTAATCCTTTTTTTTGACGATTTGCACAAAGTCTTAGATACGTATTCGCACCAGAGTCACCCTCAAACGAAAAGAAACAGTGGCTTGTGCAGGCCTTGTGCTCTCTTGCCAATCGCAAGTGAGCGCCTGTTCGCAACCTTCAGCGATGGTGGTTTCCCGGTGTCAGAATCGCGCTTCCTATCTCCTGGATGACCGGCATCTGAATAAAGCTGATTGCCTACACCTTCCCGACATTAAAAAAGAAAGGCTGTGACTTACGCGTCAAAGACCCAGCCTCTTACTGGTGTTCTACGACGATCACCTGGATCAGGGGTCTCCAAACTTTTTTTGCTAAGGGGCAGGATTCGGGATCTGTCAGTCTCCAGGGCCAGAAAATAAATGAGGAAATTCTAAAAAGATGAACCTAGATAATCATATAATTACAAATATTTAAATTTAGAGAAATTTAAAAAAAAATGTCTTAGATGAATATTCTTTATTTTGAAGTTCGATATTAAGCTAATTATGACATTGCGCAATAATTGGGACACATGAAACTCACTAAGCATAAAACAAAGCGCAATGAAACCGGCATACTGTCACAGAGCGATATAATGGGAACGGTTGAACTGATGCTAACAATAATCGATAGTTACGACACAGGACACTAAGCACAATATACTTAGAACTCGAAGGAATGTTCACATACGTATACTCAGATATAAGACGGGGACTAAGAATGGGGTTGCTGGCGATGACAATATCCAATTCTTAATACTGCGGAAGAATCCGCGTTTCGATAGGCAGTTTGCTCTCGTGGTGTGCGCGCTTGGTGCGCGCCGCGGCGCCGTTTCCTGAAGAGCGTTTCTTTCTGCCCCGGTAGCAGTGGGCTTGCTAGAAGTGTGCTGCGGGCTTGGCTTCACTGGATGGGCCATTGGAAAGCCATGGGCCGGTCAGGGGGCCTCCGCCGGCCGGGGTTTGGGAAACCCTGATCCAGATGACAGCCATTTTGATAGGCGCCAGTGTGGGCGTAACACATTCGAACCTGCACAGACTGGACAGAGAGCAACCTCCTACGGAAAGACAGTGCGGCCAACAAAACTTTAAACTGGCGTGCGGATAACTTTTCTATCATCCTCGCGCAATTTGTAGCTGTTTCAAGTTGAACAAGAGGTTACTTGACACTGATACGCAACCAAATTAACTAAAGGCGTCAAATCTATTCACTAGGTGCCCTGAATTCTGCGCGAGATTGCGTATTACAATCAGTGTGAAGCTTATTTGAATTGTTTGGTACAATGCTGGTACGTTGTATGTTAATGATTGTTTAAAATCATTAGTTGGACGACGCTTCCCCGTTCGGAATGGTTTCGGTGCCGGTGCAAGGCCTGTAATAAAAAAGTCTTTAAGTAAACGTAATGAGCTCGTATCAGTATCGCTCTTTCCGGTTTATAGTCCTCACCTGGCGCATATTTGTATGTTTCACAAGTAAAAACAAAGTGACCTAAAGCGCACCTTGAAATAATATCACTTTTATGAAACACAAAGAGGCTTATCATACGAAATTAACATTCACAAAATTTGTCAGGTGTCGTCGTAATCAACGATGTTCAAAATCCATTCTATAGTCTGCACCCGAAGGTAGTCGGCACCGGTTAAAAAGTTCCAATTTTAAGCACGTATAGTCCACGCTCACTGTATTCATTATTTATTATGATATGATGGAATTTCTGTACTTTTATTTGTAACTCGTAATTTTAGAGTACGTTCAGTTACCGGCAGTTGTTCAAATTCTGTTGACGAATGGGCAAATCTGTGTATACATTTCTATTCATCATCGATGTCACAACTTGTCACCAGCTGAAACATTCTCGTGATCAGATAACTCAAATCTTTTTATCGTGTTGTTCGGATAAATCGAACCTGAGCCCATATTTTTTCCGCGTTTGCAAAGGAGCTGTCATTGAAAAATTAAAGCTTCTGTCCTGTCGTCGGTAAATAAAGAAAGAAACAAGTTGTAACATACTTTAGTTATTTTTGTAAAAGAGTAGAAAGCTGATTATACAAAGAATGTAAGTGCGCACATGAGCTGCTGTAAATTGAACGTTACATAAACCCTGAGACTGCAAATTAAGAATTAAAAAGACACATACATTGAAAGGTTTCCAGACTGTTCGGTGTATGCGTAGTTTTTTTCTTTACCTACAGTCTCATGGTTTATGTGCGTTGCTTAGACAAACCTGTAAAAACGTATCAGAATTTGTGGGTGCTCAGAATATACTTTCTCCGCGTGTCTTTGAGTGATATAAGCGACTACTTGTTATAAATATTGTGTAGATTTGATTGCGAAAATACGGCAATACATTCACTTTAGTTATGCACAGTTCGGAAGCGTGCCAGAACTACTTGATAGATGGAGCCAATGTGACATGTAGTGCTGTGCCTGATGGATGGATGGATATTAATATCTATAACCTTTGTAATGGGCGGCAGCTTGCGCCACCTAGCCTATGTCTAAAATGACAAACATACGATTCCTACCGCCCTTCTAAGCAATTTTTGTTTCCTAACTATTGCCACGCGCGTCGCCGAGCGAGAGCGTGCGGGGCCGAATGGTCACCGTGCTTGACTGTCGCGCGGTAGGTCTAAGTTCGATTCCAGTCCGCTGAATGTCCTTTTATTTATTCTTTAAACTTGGCGTTCTCGTATGTTCGAGAACATTCTCGTCTGATTGAGTTCTGAATGATCTACGCGCCGAAAGTTCTACGCCAAATGTCCCAAAAACGCACAAGAGTACATAAGGTACACCGCATGGCGAGCGGAGTCAGTCTTCCTTCAGTGTTTGATCCTGCTCTTTCGCCGCGATCGACGCTTGCGACGCTAGCATTTTTCTATTTCGTTCTTGGGCACAAGTTCGCCCCATTAAACGTATAGCTTGCTTCAGTTTTCGTCGCCTCATCACTTGTAATTCGTGACATACTAGTGGAGGTTCGGGGTACCAAATTCTATGCCAGTGTCCCGGAAAGCTGATCCCTGTCGACGAGCCCGAAACCCCTGCCAGCCGCCGCGTCCAAGGACAGAAGCCTGAGTTTGGGACTTTTACCCGAGAACTCGAACACCAAGACGACGACGACGTCCCAGCAGAACCTGGCACCCCCTTCCGTCGTCTACCTGCCCGTCGCTCCTCGGACACCGGCTCCGTTCCACGGCAAAAGCCACAAAGACATCGACGACTGGGTTCAACAGTACGAACAAGTGGCCCGCCATAACGGGTGGGCACCGGAGCAGTGTCTTCAGAATGTTTACTTCGCCTTGAAAGCAACCGCGCGGAGCTGGTTTGAGAAAAACGAAGCATCGATCACCTCCTTGGAGCAACTCAAGGTTGAGTTACGAAGAACATTCACAATCCAACAACGAAGAGAAGGCGCCGAAGACCGTCTCCAAGCGAGTGTTTAAGGCCCTAAAGAGAGCGTTGTTAGCTTCGGCGAAGATGTTCTTCGATTCAGAAGCCGCGCGGATCCTGACGTCCCTGAAGCAAAGAAGCTGAAGGTTATAATGCGAAGCGTAAAAGAAACTACCTTCGGAGGCCTTGTGCGGAACCCGCCAACGACCATCGAGGGTTTCATCACGAAGCTATACGACCATCGAGCGAGCTCTGCAAGCCCGAACCAGGTACTACCAGAGGCTACCCGGCGTCAACGCGGTTCCGGAGTCCCCTTGCGGCCTTCCCCACGGCATCCAGGGCATTCGTGACCTTATTCGCGACGTCGTACGGGAGAAGCTGAAAAAGCTTCGGTCGACTGCTGAGCGCTCGGCCTCAATCTTCATTGCCGAGGTTGTCTGGGACGAGGTTCAGCGAGCGTTCCTGTCGTTCCCCCCTTAAGTGTGACCGCAGCCGATGATTCGACTCTGACCTACACCGTGATCGCCCGACTACCGCCGCCAGCTGCTCAACATTACACGGTGGCGCTACAGTGAGACTCACTTACGCAGGCGCAACCCCGGCGTAACGACGAAGAACATCCGTACGACCGTAAGACCAACCGGCGCCAAGTAAAACCGACGTATGGAGGAGAAGAGCGGATTGACGACCCAATTTCTTTCCCTGCGGTGAAGCCGCAGTGAGAGCAGATGGGTCGTGAAAGATGGACTTACCGTCGATGCTCCCACCGACAACTGGGGCTGCGTGTGTACCACCCGAACGACCCGCGCCCGAGGTACGCCGAACGCCCTCGCGACATCAAGAAGTACCTCCAACGCTCGCCCTCCTCAGCGCCGTCTCCCCGTCGTGAATCCTGCTCCCCATCGCCACGCGTTAAGCGTCCCCAGCACAACGACCCCCAGAAAGAGCCTGTCTCAACTGCGTCGCCGGGAAAGCTAAATGCGGCAACGCCTGGAGGTGAGGTTGCCGAAAATAATCGAAGTAAAGACCCTCCAAGAACGCCAGAGCGCTCCCACTCAACGACGCCCCTGCAACGCTGCCCAACAACCTAAATGTTGTTATCGACGGTAACGACGCATCGGCGCTCGTGGACACCAGAACAGACTACTCAGTCTTGAGTAGAAGGCTCTCTTGCCATCTTCGAAAAGTCACGACGCAGTGG